CTATCAAAGCTCATTATACCGTTACTTGTACACTTTTTGTGCTGATAAAACATTTTTGTCCCTGAAATGTTTGCTGAATCACGGAGGTTTGACGCTATCACTTGTCGTCTGACTACTTTCTGTGGAGATAGGACATCCAGTGGCTGGAAGTTTATCTCCTAAATCGATACTCATTAAGACGAAATCTGTTAAGCGTTTGCTGTCATCCATCCAATAACTCTCCCCGATCGAATCCTCAAACCAGAGAGGAATGTATTGGCCTATTATGCAGTGTATATAAGGCGATAAAGGAATAAACAGAGTTGTCCAAGGTCAGACTGAAATTGAACCAATCAGATAGTGCCCTTGAGTGGCTAACATGTCGGCTAGATTTCGGACCGGTTGAATGAACCTCCAATCCTTTCCGGCGCAGGCAGGACATTAGCACGCGCACGGTGTGTGAAGGAGTCGGTTAGGACGGGCCCTGGCCTATTGAGCACCTGGCTGCCGCTAGCGGAAGATTTTTGCAGTTGCATAATAGCGTCAAATATTAGGAATATTCACCTTCCTTCTAGACCGGGTGAATAGGAATATCTCTGGTAGTGAATAATCCAAAACCAACTAGGAACAGATTAGGGAGCTCCCATCGTACTTTTAAGGTGTTTTCGCATCAGGCCCATTCTTTTCAAGTTCGAAATTCCTATACTTATGACCTTATTGGTTTGTCTTGAAGTTTCGGCTTCGTCATCAGTTTTAAATTGAGTTTGTAGAAGCGACCGCAAGGTTACCCGCAGTCGTAGCCATTAGAGATCGATTGGCCCCAGAATCTGCATGTTTTGGCAACGTTTCCTTATCTGGATCATCTGCATCTGTACGAAAGTGTTGTCAGCGGTGAACTTGTTCACACCACACCAGGTCGAATGGCCGAACCAATTGCAGGCAGCGGACGTTAAAAAGTGAACTAGTATTAAACGGGGTCATCTGACCCTCTAAAATCCATCGAAGCTCTTTTGATTTCCTGATGCTTTGCTATCTGTTTAGCACTAATATTCCATAGAGGATCTGCATTGTTTCTACTCTTTGTATTGCTCTCCTGCTATTTCTTCCCAACCCCATCTAGACCCCCTGTAAAGCTTATCCGGCACTTTACGCACTATACCTTTAATCGGGTTCTCAGGGCATCCAAAAGTGAGGGATTTTGGCTTACGGCCTGTTGCGAAATAAGTTGTCGCAGACCATCCAGTAGTAATGTGTTAAAACTTTGTGTGTGCCTGTGTCACCACCGCTTATGTCCCCCAGTTACTTGTTAGGAAAAGAAGGCAGAACAGGATAGCATATAGTACTTTACTGTCAGTTCTACTCGTACATCAGCTCTGTTTCCTGTGTTTCCAGCAGCTTGTCTTCTGTCGTCGTCTCGGCCAACAGCGTTTCGTGTCTCTAGCAGCCGTTTCCTGGGTCGCTAACAGCAAAATATCGGGTCGTCGGCAGCGTCTCCGGCAACAATGTGCCGCCTTCAGCGATGGCAGCATATTTAAGGGCCAGTAGTCATTGTTCCCGATTGGCTCTCCACGAGTGGCCTCTACAGGCAGCCGTCGTGCCTCCAGCCACCATGACCTCAGGTGACCGGTAGCGCCCTCGGTGACGCACGCACGTGCATGCGTCTTTTCGTAGCCCTTGTCATGCGTGACCTCAGAACCTGGTCA